TGGGGGTCCATGGTGTCCCCAACTCCTCCCAGGTGGGAACTGGGGCTCCTCGGTGTCCCCAGCTCCTCCCAGGTGGGAATTGGGGGTTCACGGTGTCCCCAGCTCCTCCCAGCTGGGAATTGGGGGTTCACGGTGTCCCCAGCTCCTCCCAGCTGGGAATTGGGGGTTCACGGTGTCCCCAACTCCTCCCGGGTGGGAATTGGGGCTCCTTGGTGTCCCCAACTCCTCCCGGGTGGGAATTGGGGCTCCTTGGTGTCCCCAACTCCTCCCGGGTGGGAATTGGGGCTCCTTGGTGTCCCCAACTCCTCCCGGGTGGGAATTGGGGCTCCTTGGTGTCCCCAACTCCTCCCGGGTGGGAATTGGGGCTCCTTGGTGTCCCCAACTCCTCCCGGGTGGGAATTGGGGCTCCTTGGTGTCCCCAACTCCTCCCAGCTGGCAGATCATGTTCTCTTGGTCCCCTGTGGCCCCCCCGGGGTCCATCGCTGCCACCTCCCCGTGTCCCAAGCCCCCCGTCTCCATGTCCCCGTGGTGTCCCCTGGCAGGAGCCCAGCTCGGTGAAGTTGGAGTGCTCAGCCCTGGGGGGGCACCGCCGGCGCTGCAGTGTGGGGTACCCCGTCTTCCGCTCGCAGGCCAAGGTAGGACCCCCCAGAGACCCCCAGGGAACCTCCACTTCTCCAGCCTTGTGCTCCAGGCACGGCCTGGGGGGAGCCCAAATCCCTGAGGAGCTCCTCCAAACTCTCCACCAAATCCCTGAGGATCACCTCCAAACTCTCCACCAAATCCATGAGGAGCTCCTCCAAAATGTCCCACCAAATCCCTGAGGAACCCCTCCAAAATGTCCCACCAAATCCATGAGGAGCCCCTCCAAACTCTCCACCCAGGTCTTTGGAGAACCTCTGTGTCATCCTTGTCCCAGCCCATTGCAGGTGGGATGGGTTGGAGTCTGTTGGGTCCCCAAACCCATTTCAAGGGGGACAGGGGTTCCACAATGTCCCCAACCTCTCCCAGGTGGCAGCTGGGGGTCCATGGTACCAAATCCCTGAGGAGATCCTCGAAAGTGTCCCACCAAATCCCTCCAAAGTGTCCCACCAAATCCCTGAGGAGCTTCTCCAAACTCTCCACCAAACCCCTGAGAAGCACCTCCAAAGTGCCCAACTAAATCCTTGAGGAGCCTCTCCAAACTGTCCCACCAAATCCTTGAGAAGCTCCTGTAAACTCTCCACCAAACACATGAGGAACTCCTCCAAAATATCCCACCAAATCCTTGAAGAGCTCCTCCCAACTGTCCCACCAAACCCATGAGGAACCCCTCCCAACTGTCCCACCAAATCCCTCCAAAGTGTCCCACCCAATCCCTGAGGAGATCCTCCAAAGTGTCCTGCCAAATCCCTCCAAAATGTCCCACCAAATCCCTGAGGAGCCCCTCTCAACTGTCCCACCAAATCCGTGAGAAGCTCCTGTAAACTCTGCACCAAACACATGAGGAACTCCTCCAAAATATCCCACCAAATCCCTGAAGAGCTCCTCCAAAATATCCCACCAAATCCCTGAAGAGCTCCTCCAAAGTGTCCACCAAACCCATGAGGAGCCCCTCTCAACTGTCCCACC